CAACTATAACTAGGAATGCAAGGCTGGCTTCAAAGGATTCCTCTTAAACTTTGTAAATAACAGCCTTCTTTCTCAGCCTCAGGGAACGTTCATCTCTGGAACCCTCCCACTTTGAGGGATGTCCCACTGGTGGTGATGAGTGGCCCTTTTATCATCTATGGAGAACAAATGTGAACCTTCACCTACACCCTGGTTGGTAGACGTTACCTCCACTATGACTCAGAAAGCCCACTCCCAGGTAGTTACGCAAGAGAAATGAAAATGTACATCCACAGAAAGGCTTGTATGGGAATGTTCATAGTAGCAAGATTCATAATATCCATAAATGTAAATAATGCAAGTGTCCATCAAAAGCAGAATGGACAAAAAAGTGATGGTCTATCCATACAATGGAACCCTACTCAGCAATTAAAGAAAAACAAACTGCTTATTCATGAAACATGAGTGAATCTCACAGATATCAAGTTGTGTGAATGAAGACAGATTTTTAAAAAAGCACATACTGATAGGACACGATTCTGTTTCTATGAAGTTCCAGGAGAGGCAAAACCAACTCTGGTGACAGAAGTCAGAATGGCAGGTGTCTTTGTTGGGAGCAGGTATGATGCAGAACAGGATGGAAAGGAGAGAAGTTTCTTTTTTAAAAAATTTAATTAAAATTTAAAACATTTTTTGGCCACACTGCATAGCTGGATCTTAGTTCCCTGACTGGGGGTTAAACCCATGTCCCCTGCATTGGAAGCACAGAGTCTTAACCACTGGGCCACCAGGGAAATCCTGAGGGAACTTTCTAAATGGACAGATGTGGTCAGAGTGGAGGATGGAAAATTCATGGAACTGTACACTTTCAATGGATACATTTGATTAAAATTATATCTTAATATGAAAAGAGAAAAACAATGACTGCTGCAGGATTTGATGGGGTCAAAGGGCTAGCTCGTCGCTATAAAGGTGGCTTGATTCTGTAGAGGCCACACCAACACCTCAGACCCTGAAATTCCACAGGTATAGGACCACCTCAAAACCCGGAACAGTCCCTGGTTCCTAAACCTGGGCCCCTGTTGAGCTGACTAAACTTAAAACTGCCCCGGGGGCCTAGCGGGGACAGGCCTAGGGTGGCAGGACCACAGAGGCCTTGGAGGCTGATTATTTAGGGAGGTGGGTGGTTTTGCTCAGGCTGTGAGGGACTTGCTAGTCCCTTCCCCAAACTCCACAGCTGGGAGCCAGGGAGCGGGGCCCAGGGGCTGGGCTCACAGGACCTACGTCTGCCTGCAGGGGGCGCCCTGCCAATCACGAGGGGTCACTTGGCAGGAACGCTCCAAGCTGTGTCAGTTCTTCCCGCCCACCTACAGACAGGTGCCCCACGCCCTCAAAGAGGGCCCTCAGCAGCCTGGATCAGGTAACCCTGTAGCTCCTTCTGTCCACCTTGGTGCGGATGTGCTCAGCTGCTTCAGTCATGTTCAACTCTTTGCGACTCCATGGACTGTAGCCTGCCAGGCTCCTCTGTCCATGGGAATCTCCAGGCAAGAATACTGGAGGGGGTTGCCATTTCCTCCTCCAAGGATCTTCCAGACTCAGAGATCTAACTTGCATCTCTCATGTCTCCTGAATTGGTAGGTGGGTTCTTTACCTTTAGCGCCACCATCCACCTTGGTAGTCGGCACCTATTAACCAGCGTAGCTCTCTGTGTATGGGGTCAAGTTAGTGGAGTGAACTTGTCAGGATCATCAGTCTATTGACTTCCTCATGTGTGTGCCTGTGGGTGTGCACGTGTGTGTTAAGGGTGGCAACTGGTACTGTTCAAAATACCCATTTGACACAAGGTCAACCTCTCGCACACCTCAGGCTGTGGCATGTGGGGCCTCCCTCCCAAGGCCCAGCAGGCCAGCTCCTTCCCTCACCTCAGCGTTCACTTTTGATCCACTTCCTCAGGGCAGCCTTTCTGGAAGCCTACGTTCAAGCCCTGACTTGCCCTGACTTGCCCTGTCAGTCATTTCCCACCACTTTTCTAAGATGATTCTCTCCTCGCCCTCCTCACTACAGTGACTTGTCTGACTTCTCCATTCACTCTAAGGTCAAGGAGAATGGGGGTGGTGGCTGGACACATTCTATACCTGTTACCCAACACACAAAATAAAACGAGCAAACCAAAACCCAACCCCCACCCCACTCCTTCTCCTGCATGTTCAGTGCAAAAATTCTGAGTCTACCAAACTTAGAATCCATGTCTACTAAAGAGGAAGTCTCTCGGGAGCCAGGCTGAGGTTCTTTATAACCCTCCACATGCATGTCAGGGTGCAAAGTAGATGTGCCATATTTTATTAAAGATATTATCAATATCTGTGGCCAGATCAGAAAGACATATAGGTATTATGAAACTGACTAGGCAAGTGCAGCTCATGAGCAATTTCATTCCCTAAAAAAATGGACGGTTACAGGAAGCACAGGCTACAGACTCAATGTGGTGAACTGAAAAATGACCCACTTGGGATCATAAAATGAGGGTTAGGACATATTAATATATGCTGACCTGGCAGGTCATCTAAAACACTGTCCAGGAGAGGGGAAATGATCTGTGTGCACAGGTGTGCCCGCATAGACTGTAGCCCAGAACCTCAAAGCTCACAATTAAAGCATTTAAAGAAAAACAAAAAATCAGAACCACACTGGCCAGACACCAGATCTATAAAAGTAAAATTTGCTCAGTCGTGACCAACTCTTTGTGCCCCATGGACTGTAGCCCACTAGGCTCCTTTGTCCATGGGAATCTCCAGGCAAGAATACTGGAGTGGGCTGCTATTCCCTTCTCCAGGGGATCTTCCTGACCCAGGAATTAAACCTGGGTCTCCTGCACTGCAGGCAGATTCTTTACCATCTGGGCTTTACAGGGAAGCCCAGACCTATAAAAGGAGTGAAAGTCACCCAGTCGTGTCCTACTGTTTGTGACCCCATGGACTATACAGTCCATGGAATTCTCCAGGCCAGAATACTGGAGTGGGTTGCCATTCCTTTCTCCAGGGATCTTCCCAACTCAGGGATGGAACCCAGGTTTCTCGCATGCAATTTCTTTACTGTCTAAGCCAACAGGTCATATGAAAAAAATAATCATACATGGCCCTGGCTTTGCCTTTTGTGTTAAGAGTTGGAGAATAAGGATGGGAGAGAGGAGCCAGTGTAATTTTAAACAAGATGCCTTTGGCAACTCATCCTGGCTCAGTGTAGCATTTTAGAATGATCTCTGAGCTATTTGCCAAATTATTAATACAAGAGAATCTATGTTGAAAGTATCAATGCGGGCTTGAGTTCTGCCTGGTGCTTTTCTGACGTCAGCTACTTGCCAGATGCTGGCCAGATGGACAGGCTGGGGGTGGGGGTGAGGGTGGGGGCTTCCGCTGCTAACGATAAGCTTAACAGCGAGTGCATGGGCTGGGGTCTGACTCTGGCCTCTGCAGACATAACAGCCTAGAACAGAGAAAGGATCCTCTGCCCACTCCTGGGGCCAGGGTTTCTGACATCAGGCCGGGCTGGAGGGGAGAAGGGAACCAGAGCTGGATGTTTTTAGCTATACCTGCCCATCTGAGCCTGGCAGGGGGTGGTGGCGGTATCCTGGGTCTGTGATCTCTACCTGGAGGTGCATGTGGCAGGCCTGGCATGGGCGAAGGTTCCCACAAAGCCCGGCTCCCCTCCTCCTGCAGTACCCTGGGCTCTGCCCACCTCTGAGTCAGGGCAAGTCTGCCCACTGAAAGCACACGGGACCCCGTCAGGCCCCACGGGTGTCTGGAGACCCAGCGGCCACTGTGGTGGGAAACGGTGGTCAGCCAAGAGCAGAAAGCGAATCACCCAAAGGGAAAAACAGAAAGAGCCCGTGAAACAAAAACAGCAAGGAAAGGTTTTGCATTTAACACCCACATTGTCCTACTTTCACTTTCCCAGGAGATGATTCTGTCATCCGTTGAGGGTGGGGGCTTCCGCTGCTAACGATAAGCTTAACAGCGAGTGCATGGACTGGGGTCTGACTCTGGCCTCTGCAGACATAACAGCCTAGAACAGAGAAAGGATCTTCTGCCCACTCCTGGGGCCAGGGTTTCTGACATCAGGCCAGGCTGGAGGGGAGAAGGGAACCAGAGCTGGATGTTTTTAGCTATACCTGCCCATCTGAGCCTGGCAGGGGGTGGTGGGGGTATCCCGGGTCTGTGATCTCTACCTGGAGGTGCATGTGGCAGGCCTGGCATGGGCGAAGGTTCCTACAAAGCCCGGCTCCCCTCCTCCTGCAATACCCTGGGCTCTGCCCACCTCTGAGTCAGGGCAAGTCTGCCCACTGAAAGCACACGGGACCCCGTCAGGCCCCATAGGTGTCTGGAGACCCAGCGGCCACTGTGGTGGGAAACGGTGGTCAGCCAAGAGCAGAAAGCGAATCACCCAAAGGGAAAAACAGGAAGAGCCCGTGAAACAAAAACAGCAAGGAAAGGTTTTGCATTTAACACCCACATTGTCCTACTTTCACTTTCCCAGGAGATGATTCTGTCATCCGGAGTCCGGTGCCAAATGTTTGCTCAGAGGGCGGACAGTGGCCCATGGTCACCAAGGAACCCCAGCGAGCTGAACTTGAACTCAGCGCTGCTAGTGATGGGCAGGACTGGTCGTCCCCTACCCACTGGAGTCCATGGACATGCAACCTCAGAGGTGCGGTTCCACCGTGAGCTGGCAGTGTTCACACACACGGGCCACTCAGCCATCTCACACCCTCTGAAGTGCTGTACCTGGGCCAGGTGGCCGGAAGAATCCTGGATATGACGCATGTGCTGGTCCTTCTCTGATCAACCCCCCCGGGCAAGCCGGGGCAGGGGGTGTCATCGAGAAGAACCAGGTGGAGCAGTGTTTGAAAGCCCCAACCCCAGGAAGAACCACCACCACCGTCCACAGGGACAGCATGGCACCTCCGAGTTCCCCGAGGAGGCTGAGGGGCTCAGCGCCCTGACCATCCCTCCACCACCACTCACCATGTACGAAGGGAAGATGAGAACTCGCTTGTGCTTGCCACAAGGCCACTGGGGGTCATCCAGGAGATTCGGGTCGTAGTCCATAAAGTCTCCCAGGTCGCTACCTGAGGATCAACGCAAAATGATAATTAGGGCCTTGACCTCCCGAAGCAGAAGTGGCCGGGCGAATGCCTGGTCCAAAGTTCGATGGTAGAAAGGCTGGTTTCAGGTTTCCGAGCCCAGTCACATCGCTCGCTCTGACCATCAGTAGATGTCTCTGCATGCCAATGAAGTGTGTCCCACCCATGTGCCCACCGCCCCTCCCTGCCCTGGGCAAAGGAGTTCATCAAACACTTTACATTCTGACATTTTTTCCATTAAAAAAAAAAAATTAATCTCCTTGACCTGGCAAAGCACAAAATCTCATAAGCATGAACATTGCTATGAACACTCACAGACTACAAAACAAGGCACAGAAATGGCTCACTTTCTAAATGTACAGATCGAACGAGCCTCAAGTTGTTGCATGTGAGTAGCACGTTCGGTGTGAATAATTGTGGGCAGGCTCTGGGGGTCTGAATGCAGGCAAACCAGAGCAGATACCAGTGCAAACAGCAGTCAGTGACTGGAGGAAGCCGAACAGCACCTGGACGGGCCTGAGGAACTTCACGCTCACCTGGAATTTCTCTGAGAGTGGAAAGAATCCTGCCTCATAAAGCATTTTTCTCCCTGTGTCAATTCCCACAAAGGCTTGTACGGTAGAAGTGGAGTCTTCCGTCAGCGGCTGAGTAAGCTCACCTGCTGTGAGAGTCACTAATGGAGTTTTCACACCTGCCTGCTCCTTTATGGTCCAATTATTTGAAGAAAGCCAACTTAAAAAAAAAATTTATTTGGCTGCACCAGGTCTTAGTTGCGACTTACAGGATCTTTAAATTGCAGCATGTGGGATCTAGTTCCCTGACCAAGGATCAAACCTGGGAGGGCAGAGTCTTAGCCACTGGACCACCAGGAAAGGCCTGAAAGGCCAAACTTGAGCACTAGGAGAATGTAGGTAAGAAGCAGGTAAGTGGAGAGATGAGGAGCTGAGAGGCAGAAAGAAGCCAGGGAGCCAGGCCTCTCTACAAGGTGGTCTGGTTGTGGAAGCTTAGGGGCTGGCGACTAAGGTTTCTCATTAGAGAAACTGCCCTGTGGCCTGGTCATAAGCCTGCCCATCTACCAATGCACACAAGGAGACCCAATCCATGCTGTCCATTGAGGCACCTCCTGCAGCCAGACCCCAGCTTACCCGTGTCGAGGCTCCCCTGGGTGCTGCTCGCCCGGCCGATGGAGAGGCTGCGGTGGCTCAGGGTACGGAGCTGGGAGAAGGAGGACGTGGAGTCTAAGGTGTTTCTCCGTGTTCCGAAGGCATTCGTGGGCAACAGAAACTGGGTGTAAGAAACAGTCTAAAAGATGAAGACAAAAACAGGCAGTGATTAACCCCCGGCAATGAAGGAGACGACAGATGAGATGGTTGGATGGCATCACTGACTCGATGGACATGAGTTTGAGCAAGCTCCAGGAGTTGGTGATGTACAGAAGCCTGGTGTGCTGCAGTCCATGGGGTCGCAAAGAGTCGAACATGACTGACTGAACTGAACTGACTGTGAGGTTTGCATTCTGACCAAGCTGCGTTGCCACGCCAAGTTCAGGTCAACATTCTCATAGCTGGGCAATTCTAAAATCCAAGATCTGAAAAATGAAATTTGTTTTTGCACATGTTTGTGCCAAAAACTAAACTGGACTGACTTGAGGCCATCCTAGTTTTAATTTATCCCACTTAGCGTGAATATTCATGTGATATTCATGTGTCTGAGAGATACTTGTGTGTCTGATCGCAAGGGACCATCTCTAAAGCTGCTGGGATGTTTTCTAACTCAGAAGGCATATGTCGCAGTGCTTTGTTTAATCCACCACGGGTAGAATTCCAGAAGATCAGGCCCCAAGAGTCTCTAATGAGGGCTCTGCCCTCCCTCGTTTCCCTGGCAGATGCTGTATCTATGGTGCTCATCTCATTCCACCCTCCCTCCATCCCCTGTGAACACTCAGTCCTCAGGAATGAAGCTGCAACACGTGTTTTTCTTTTCACCTGCTTGGCAGAGACGTGGCTCATGACGCCAGTCGGAGGCAGCGCGGGTGCGTGTGTTAAGTCGTTTCAGTCGTGTCTGACTCTTTGTGACCCAACCGACTGTAGCCCGCCAGGCAAGAATACTGGAGTGGGTTGCCATGCCCTCCCCCAGGGGATCTTCGCCCCCCAGGGATAGAACTCATGTTTCCTTCATTACAGGCGGGCTCTTTACCACTCAGTCACTGGGGAAGTCTGGAAAGCCCCTAAACACTGTCTAGTAGTGGAATTGCTACTCACCACACTTAATACATGTTCAACCACCCGCCACTCCTCCAGGCACACACATGTGTGTGTATGCAAGATAAAGCAGTTTCCCCTCACTCAGTTTGTTACTCATGGTCCAAAAAGACTACATGGAAAATTCTAGAAATAATTTCTCAGCTTTAAATTGTGAGTCAGTCAGAGCAGTATGATGAAATCTAGTGCCATCCCGCCCAGCACATGAACCATCCCTTTGTCCGGCGATCCCACCCCTTAGTCACGGAGTAGCCGTTTTGGTTATCAGATGGATTATTGTGGTATCACAGGGCTTGTGCTCGAGCATTATTTTACTTACTAATGGCCCCAAAGCACAAAGTAGTGACAAAGTACAATTCGGATAGTCTCTTACTGTGCCTAATTTAAAAAGTAAACATTATTAGCGGTATGTACGTATAAGTAAAAGCGTAACATATATAGGGTTCTGCCCTACCCAAGGTTTTAGGCATCCACTGGGGGTTCTTGGAACATATCCCCCGAGGACAAGACTGGGTAACTGGACTAGTCAGGATGGGCATTCACGGAGAAACAGTTGGCCAGCTATGTAACCCATCTGCACACCTGGACAGGGGGCTTCCCTGGTGGCTCAGACGGTGAAGAATCTGCCTGCAATGTGGGAGACCCAGGTTCGATCCCTGGGTCAGGAAGATGCCCTTCACTCCAGTAGTCTGGCCTGGAGAATCCCATGGACAGAGGAGCCTGGTGGGCTACAGTCGATGGGGGTCGCAAAGAGTAGGACATGGCTGAGCGACTAACCCTTCCTTCTGGACTGGCGTCACTCATGCACCCAGGTTGTGCCCCACGTCAGGTTTTCCAGCCTAAGGGTGGTTCGTGGTCCATCACGGCCTCTGCTTTCTGGCCTTTGTGGTGTCTGTTGCACAAGCCAGAGGTCTGGGAGCCACGTGGCCTTACCTTCCCGTCGGCACCCAGCTCCACGCCTTCCAGGCCGATGATCTCTTTCAGGCTCACGGCTCCTGCTGATTGTCTCCCTCCATCCAGCTTCAAATCTCTGCAGGGACAAGCCAAGGATAAAGATGCTTCTGTTTGCACCCAAAGGAGCCACGGAGATGTTTACTATTGGAACACCAGAGTCACTCTCACAATAATGATGGAGGAGGTCCCGCCGTGCCTGACGGGATCTTCTCTGTCCTTCTTTTGGGGCTTCTTGGTAGTTCCACCCACTTTGACATAATGAAATTCAACTGAACAGAGAGCCTGAAGATGAGAGGCAGGCTCAGTAGCCAGTAGATTACCAAAGTCCCTTCCCGCTCAGCAAGGCCGTTGGCTCTTAAATGGCCAGACTAACAGGAAGCCAGGGGAGGTCACCTCTCCTTGCCACCCCCTTATTAGACAGGAGGAAGAAATTCTTACCTAAACAGTTCTCAGCTTTATTACTAGTAATGAAGGAACTAATGCCACAACAGCCACCCCAGCTACCTTACTGGGCCACTCAGACAATGACTATCTCTATAAAAGAATAATGTCCAGTACTACCAGCAGGGTCTTCCATGTTGCTCAAATGGTAAAGAATCTGCCTGCAATGCAAGAGGCCCGGGTTCGATTCCTGGGTCAGGAAGATCCTCTGGAGAAGGGAATGGCAGTCCACTCCAGCATTCTTGCCTGGAAAATCCCAAGGACAGAGGAGCCTGGCAGCCTACAGTCCATTGGATCGCAAAGAGTCGGATATGACTGAGCGACTAACACTACGACCACTACTAACAGCAAGCACTTCCTAATTTACTTTCACATATCCTCCTTTTCATTCTTTAAGATTACCCTATTGGACATGCGTTGCTATTGTTCCATTTCACAGATGAGAAAAATGAGGTCCAGTGCAAGTAACCGGCTCACCAAGGTCCCCACCGACAGTGGGCTGTAGACCCTGGTTTTGTATCCAGTGCAACATTTCATGCAGCATTCTTCCCTGGGTCTGGCTGTGGCTCTGCTCGCGGGTAACTATTCACATTTTCAAGGTCAATCCCCCTCCTTACAGGAGCTCTCAGACTTTCACTGCATATTAGAATCGCCTGGGATCTTTGACAAACTACAGGCACATCTCAGAGATTCTGCAGGTTCAGTTCCAGATGTCCCCAACAACACAAATATTGCAACAAAGCAAGTCACACAAATTGTTCGGTCTTCCACTGCATATAAAAGTTATGTTTGCACTTTAGTCTATGAAGTTTGCAATAGCATTATGTCTAAAAAAAAATGTACAAGCCTTAATTAAAAAAATACTGCTAACAAATGCTAACCATCATCTGACAATGCAGACTGCCACAAACCTTCAATCCATAAAAGGAAAAAAAAAAAAAGCAGTGTCTGTGAAGCACAATAAAGCGAGGTGTGCCTGTATGATGTCTGGCCCGTGTCCCCAGATGTTCATTCTGATTCAGTTGAATGGGGCGTAACCTGGTCGGCTTGAGTTTTAAATACTCCCAGGTGATTCGGATTGGAACTGAGTTTGGAAGCTCCCTCTTCCAGCTGGGCTCCACACGCAGCCTTGTTAGTCTAAGCCGCCCCAGGCCGGCAGCATTCGTGCCTTGTGGCCCGGAGGGAACCGCCACACTCTGAGACGTCTCCTACAACCTAAGCAAGAATAAACACCATGTAAAGGCCAGACTCTCCAGGCCAAAGGTGACGGAATCACTGGAGGAGAGAACGAGAGCCCGGTGTGTTGTGAGGAAGAAAGACAAGAGGCTGTCCCTCCCACCTTCCAGGAGGGAAAAAAAAGTATCTTTTCACTGTGTTGAGCAATCATCCTTGTCTATGGGCGTTCCAGGCATGGACTGGCACCCTAATCCTATCTGATTGATGACAGTTTTCAAAAGAAACACCCAAGACCTGTACCTAGGAAGTACTGCACTTTCTAAGGTATTCTCCTTGGGAGGCCATGGTTCTGCCAGATCAAAGGGTCTCTGTAGCCCCTTTTGGAATCAACACTAACATCATGCAGAAAGAAAAAAACAACCAACCCATCCCAGTCTTCAAACTTTATACTTATATATATAGTGCATGTGTATGTATGTGTGCATGCATATATATATGTTAGTGTTAGTCGCTCAGTTATGTCCCACTCTGCGACCCAATGGTCTGTAGCCCACCAGGCTCCTCTGCCCATGGAACTGTCTAGGCAAGAATATTGGAGTGGGTTGCCATTTCCTTCTCCAGAGGATCTTCTTGATCTGGGGATAGAACTCAGGTCTCCCGCATTGCAGGCAGATTCTTTACTGTCTGAACCACCAGGGAAGCCCATTGAAAGACCCCCAAATATTCTGAGTCATAGAAGTGACTGAGCTCTGGGGAAGTGTCTGAGTCCACCTCGGGTGCCTCCTCTGCTGAGGACCACACTCTCCCTGAGGGCTCTGAGGGCCCAGCTGATTTAAGTCACATCACCTTATGAATATGCCACGCCAACAGAGAGCCCCGCTTCCCAGTTATTGACCTCAAATCCAAAGCGGGAAGGATCAGGTGGGCTGGAGCAGAGCAGGGCTCAGCAAGACCACGAGAACCTCAGGTTCCCCGGAGACTATGCGAGGTTGCCTGGCTTCCTATGTGAGCCACCGGGGGCGACTCTCAGAAAAATTCCTCAAGCAATTAAGGACAAAGACGATGACTGAATAAGGGCCCTAAAAAGGGAAATGCCTTCACAGCAAGCACCAGAACAAGAGGCAAAAATAGCTGTGGTGGGAAAGGATGGAGTGGCCCAGCGGTGGAAGACCAGGAGGTGAGCTGGCACAAAGAAGCAGAACCCGTATTTTGTTAAAGGACCCACAACACGCTTCCTCAGACTTACTGCTTTCCCAAAGTCTAACCCAGCAAGCGTGTGCCTCAAATTCCAGCTCCTAGACAACTGCCTCCTTGTTTCCACTTCACCCAGATGGAGAATGTTCCTTAGGACTGAAACGAATACAAGAGCAGGAAATATCTTTATGGGATGAGAAGATTAAAAGAACTAAGGCGTATTCAGATAGTTCCCTATTAAGAGTGCTCCTGGACACGGACATAGAGAATAGACATATGGACACGGTGGTGGGGGTGGGGAGGAAGGAGAGGGTGGGATGATGGAGAGAGGAGCAAGGAAACATACATTACCATATGTAAAATAGGCAGCCAATAAGAACGTGCTATATTACTCAGGGAACTCAAAGTGGGGTTCTGTAAAGACCTAAAGGGTTGAGGTGGGGAGGGAGGTGGGAGGGAGATTCAAGAGAGAGGGGACATGTGCATATCTACAGCTGATTCATGTTGATGTTTGGTAGAAACCAACACAATACTGTAATGCAATCATCCTTCAATTAAAAATAAATCTTAAAAACTTAACAGAGTTTTAAGTTAAAAAAAAAAAGAAGAAGCTTTTCCTGTGGGAGCCGAGGGGTTGAGAGCAGCGTGGCCTTCTCCTCTCCCCGCCATGGCGTGTGCTCGTCCACTGATATCAGTGTACTCCGAAAAGGCGGAGTCCTCTGGCAAAAATGTCACTTTGCCTGCTGTGTTCAAGGCTCCCATTCGACCTGATATTGTTAACTTTGTTCACACCAACTTGCGCAAAAACAACAGACAGCCCTATGCTGTCAGTGAATTAGCAGGTCATCAAACCAGTGCTGAGTCTTGGGGTACCGGCAGAGCTGTGGCTCGAATTCCCAGGGTTGGAGGTGGCGAGACTCACCTTTCTGGTCAGGGTGCTTTTGGAAATATGTGTCGTGGGGGCCGCATGTTTGCACCAACCAAGACCTGTCGATGTTGGCACCGCAGAGTGAATACAATGCAGAAGCGATATGCCATCTGCTCTGCACTGCTGCCTCAGCCTTACCAGCCCTGGTCATGTCTAAAGGTCATCGTATAGAAGAAGTTCCTGCACTTCCTTTGGTGGTTGAAGATAAAGTTGAAGGCTACAAGAAGACCAAGGAGGCTGTTTTGCTTCTGAAGAAACTTAAGGCCTGGAATGATATCAAAAAGGTTTACGCCTCTCAGCGAATGAGAGCTGGCAAAGGCAAAATGAGAAACCGTCGCCGTATCCAGCTTAGGGGACCCTGCATCATCTGTAATGAAGACAATGGTATCATCAAGGCCTTCAGAAACATCCCTGGAATTACTCTGCTTAATGTAAGCAAGCTGAACATTTTGAAACTTGCTCCTGGTGGTCATGTGGGATGTTTCTGCATTTGGACTGAAAGTGCTTTCTGAAAGTTAGATGAGCTTTACGGCACTTGGCGTAAAGCAGCCTCCCTCAAGAGTAACTACAACCTCCTCATGCACAAGATGCTCAATACAGCCTGTGGTGGGAAACAAAGAAAAGAAGGCTATTGGCGATGAGAAACTGAAGAAGCCTGTGGTGGGAAAAAAGGCTGCGGGACCAAGAAACCCACAGAAAAGAAACCCACCTCAGAGGAAAAGAAGGCTGCTGCCTTCTTTAAATTTGATTATTCCATAAATGCCAAATCATTTTGGACAGCTAATTTTGAATAAAGACCTGAACAAAGAGGCAAGGAGAAACATGAAAAAAAAAAAAAAAAAGAAGAGTGCTCCTACATGGAGAGCTGGCTGTAGGCAGGAACAGTCTCAGTCCACGTCTGTATCCTGTCTACCTACCGCCTGAGGTGTAAAGATGCTTAAAGAAGTGTTTGCTGAGCGGAGGTCAACTGACTCCTTGTTGGTTCATAAAGATGGCACAGCTGGTGGGTGTTTTTCCATTGTGCCCCTTTCCATCTGTCTCAGTTTGCTCCCAGGCTCAGTGCTTCCCCGGGGCAGCCCTGCCTTTGCCAACTGGCCCCTTGATGCTGGAAGCACAGATCCCAGTTCGCAGAACCAAACCAGCCACTTTTACTCCACACTCCCCTTCTTCTTTTTTAAAAAAAATTTGGCAGCACCTAGCGGTATGTGGGATCCTAGCTCCCCAACCAGGGATCAAACCCATGTCCCCCTGCATTGGAAGGTAAAGTCTTAACCACTGGACCGCCAGGAAAGTCCCTCCATGCTTCCACACACTCCCGTTCTCGACTCCTCCCTTGTGAGAAATGGAGCCATAACAAAAATTATACTTTATGTGCACATGAAATGCAAGACTCTTCTCCATGAGAGAAACCCAAGCCCTGCTTAAAAGGAACAGGGAGGACTTCCCTGGTGGTACAGTGGATAAGAATTCACTTGCCACTGCAGGGGGACACGGGTTCGATCGCTGGTCCGGGAAGATTTCATATGCTGTGGGGCAACTGAGCCTGTGTGCCACAACTTCAGAGTCTGTGCTCTGGAGCCTGCAAGCCACAACTCCTGAGCCCATGTGCTGCAACTACTGAAGCCCGTATGCCCTAGCGCCTGTGCTCCGCAACACGGAGAAGCCACCGCAAGGAGAAGCCAGTCATCGCAACAAACAGTGGCCCCCACTCGCCGCAACTAGAGAAAGCCGGCGAGCACCAACAAAGACCCAGCACAACCACAAATAAATGAACAAAATTATTAAAAAATTTAAAGGAACAGGGGTTCTTAGCCTATCCCAAGTGCCTCACGGACACTTTGGACCACGTGGAAGAGAGAGCTCTATGGGCAAAACTCCACCACCCCTGACCGCAGGAACCCGTCTCTGGAGAATTACTGTGCCCCCTGCATACCACAGCCACCACTTTGCACCCCCGGCGCTTCACCTGTATCATTCTACTTTCTAAATAACTACGGCCCGCTGAGAATGAAAGTGAGACAGGAGAAGAGTGCGTCCACCCTCGACGGCTACTGAGAAAACACACACTGCTCATCACAGTCCAACAGAATCTCCCTCAGCGATGGATGGTGCTCCGTCTGAGCCGCCCCGCGGGGCAGGCACGAGCCACCCACGGCAATGCAGCGCTTGCAGTGTGACCAGTCGACCGAAGAACTGAATTCTTACTTTTGGTTAATTTTAGTTAAAATTTAAATAGCCACGTGCGGCTACTGTATGGGATGAGTAAGTCGGCCTTCCCGAGGTGGCCTGGCCACTCTCTGCCCATTGTCTCTGGGGATGTCTCCGACCCAGGCCCCAGCTCAGGGAAGAGTCCTTGTTAGGAGTCTTGGGAGAGTGAATGGGAGAGAGGTAGGACCCTGTGGATGAAGCCAGTGCAGCAGGTCTACCCTCCGTGGGGAGGAGGAAATGAGGACTGTGATGCCCACGGTCACAGGGGACCCATGCCCTGCACCCCAGAACAGAGCTCCCAGCTGAGATAAAAATTCACATCCTATAAAAGGCACAGAGTGGCACATTCTTTTGCCCTGAGGGGCTGTGCAGACGGGGGCACGGCAGTGGGGGTTTTGGTGATGCCAGAACACACAAAGGACAGTGAGCAACAGTGCTCCCCAAGTTCACAGCATCCCAGGCCCTTCATGCCTCCTGGAGAGGAGAAGGGTGGTGCCCAGTGATAATCAAGTCTGAATTCCTTGCCGGTTTTGTAGAAGGGAGTTTATATTATGTCTATTAACTAAAAAGATATTTCCTACAGACTGAAGCTGCTGCACCAATATTGGCTATATTCACATTTCAGAAACTTCACTGACATGGTTATAAATATCACAACTGCTCTAGAAAAACTGACTGCTTCGTGGTGGCAGCCAAGGGCACACTTGTTCATTTTTCTTTGCCTCATTTTCAGGAAGAGGTTGTCACTAACTTCAGGGCTGCCGTTTTGGTGAGACTGAATTAAGAGCGCCCACGTATACACATCCACTTATACAGCCACATGTGCACGGAAAATGAAACATATCTCATCTACATCAATAATGTCACCTCTTTAACAGCTTTTGAATTTGTTCATATTGAGACTCTTGGGATCTTAAACATCTTTCATAAAGAGGCTGACAAACTTCTCGAGGTGCCTTAGCTAAGTGCTCTTATAAGAGTTGCTGAAACCATATACAGTCAACCCTCCATATTCCAGGTTCTGCATCCATGGTTTCAACCAACCTTGGATCAAAAATATTTGGAAAAAAAATCCAACAAGTTACAAAAAGCAAAACTTGAATTTGCTGCGTGCTGGCAACTATTTACATAGCATTTACATTGTACTAGGTATTATAAGCAACCTAGAGATGATTCAAGGGGCTTTCCAGGTAGTGCTAGTGGTAAAGAACCCACCTGCTAGTACTGGAGATGCTGGAGACAAGGGTTCGATCCCTGAGTCAGGAAGATCCCCTGGTGAAGGGCATGGAAACCCACTCCAGTATTCTTGCCTGGAGAACCCCATGGACAGAAGAAGCTGGTGGGTTACAGTCCATAGTGTTGCAAAGAGTCAGACACGACTACAGCGACTTAGCACACACATACACAGAAATGATTCAAAGTACACAGGAGGATGTGTGTAGGTTATACACAAATATGCCATTTTACATAAGGAACTTATTAAGCTTCTATGGATTTCAATATCCACCAGGGATCCTGAAACCAGTCCCCTGTGGATACTGTGGGATGACTACATTAACAGGAACCATATGAAATTGCTGTTGTCTGTCTGACTCACATAAACAGCAACTTCATATCGTGGTTCCTAACTTATAGATTCAGCAACTGCTCGGGGCTTACATGTGAATGTAAAGCANCATTAACAGGAACCATATGAAATTGCTGTTGTCTGTCTGACTCACATAAACAGCAACTTCATATCGTGGTTCCTAACTTATAGATTCAGCAACTGCTCGGGGCTTACATGTGAGTGTAAAGCAAGCAAGAGACCCGTGGCCCTTGATGCCCTGCTGTTTTGGGATTCAAGGGTTGAAGTTGACCTCAGAAAGGAGTTCTGAATGATGTTACTGGTTTACCCAAAGACAGTCCTCTAGAAACAGCAGTGGAAAAGAATTAAGCAGAAGTCCCATAGGAGCAGTGATAAAATCTTGATGTTTTCTTCCTAAGATCATCCTTCTGAATTCTCATCAAAATGCCGTATGAAAACAGAAATATCTTTTCAACTCAAATGCCAGCATTAACCCTCCAGTACCAGGAGACTGAGCTGGATAACAAAACTGCAGCTGGGGGGTGTAAACCCCTCCTTCATAGGATAGCACTGGAAGTCATTCAATGTAGCTCTCCCGAAAGCTCCACGCTGGAAACCCCCTGGACCTCTGTCTTAGTTTTGGCTCCCACGGCATAAAGTGAATATATGTGACTGCACAGTTGTGAAGTCAACCGACCAGAGCAGATGGCCAATCTAGATATTCTGATGCCCAAAGGGGGTTACCCAGGTTGCTATTAACCACACAATGGCCAGCTCCTGATTTCATCTTACGTAATAGGCAAAATGATCTTTCGTTTCCTTTTTTAAAGCTCACTGAGCCATAGTACATGAAGCTGATCAAACAAGGTTCCCTACTAGATAACAAGAAATTCAAGTGAAGACCCTTTCCTTAGGGAGCATGTGAACCAATATTTCTCTTACTTTTAAAATAAAAGGATTTAACTATTTAATACCTGGGAAATAGAGGAAAAAATTGTGTGTGTAGGCAGTTAACTTTTCCATGGCTTTCTGCTTCCAGAGTGGGGATGGCCTTTTATCCCTAGTCATTCCTCTCATGGTGCTCTAAATTCGAGACCTTGGAATGCCAGCCTGGAGCTCCACTGGGCACTTGCCCTTTAAAGGATCACAATAGGTTGAACATTGATGTGTAAATAATTTAAAAGCCTATTAAATATTAACAGGATTTCCAGATCCTGCAAAAACAAGAGAGCTTTGAGGTGCACAAAGCAAAGCTTGAAAAGCTGGATTAGGAAAGAAAATGCCACTTGTGGGCTCATTTTAATTAAGAGCTCATATATCCACTGGAACTCAACCACATAGCATTTATCATCTCTAAGAGGTCCTATGTGTCACCTCGTCAGATATGGAACAGCCGCCATCTTGGATTGGGCCTGCTCCCTTCTGTCAGAGCAGAACACTGTTAACTCATGGTTTAGTTGATGGAACAATGCCCAGAACTGACAGGAAAAAGTGAAATCAAAGCAGCTTTTAGTCCAGAAGTCCAGCCTCTTTGACACTCAGCACTTCATTGATAAACCACCCCTCCTCCCCACTTGGGTAACTGGCAGACAATGAAGGGACCTTACCACAGCTTACACCAAAATCTTTGTCTAAAGGCAGTGCCTATAAACAGCGGGGTAATAGCATGATTCATCCATGAGATCATTCCTGAATCTGTCTCTGTGTGGAAATATGCTTGGTGTGAGGAAAGAAACACAATTTGTGAATGTGCAATTTTCCACAACGAAGAGAGATGTTTTTGGCGAAAATGGGTGGGGAGGAAGGGGGGATGGGCCGGGAGCAAGGCAGGCAGCACTTAGGCTTGGAGGCCCTCTCTAAGAATAGAAGAAGCTGTCCTCTGTGTCACAAAATGATCAACTCAGGAAATGGACCCAAGAGGATGACCTCATCTCAAATTCCCCAATGCCAAAAAGCAAAGCACATAAACACCATGTGGAAGCTGCTATTTTATATCACGCCCCCCAGAGGTCACTTGTGCTCCACTGGGAAGCCATTTTCTTCATCATATGGTTTCTGATACATTTGTTATTTTTTAAAAAATCTTTATTGAATTTGTTACAATATTGCTTCAATGTGCTGGTTTTCTGGCCAAGAGGCATGTGGGATCTTAGTTCCTCAGGAGGGATAGAACCTGAATTGGGAGGCAAAGTCTTAACTACTGAACCACCAGGGATGTCCCTCTGATACATTTATCATGAAATTAACCCAGTGACTATCATTCAATCTGGTATGGTTATCTGAATGAGTCTGTACCCACACACGTCTCAGAAACTGGTTTCTGCTGGAATCACTAGTTTAGTCAGCTTCTCACATAGCTCTGAATCACAAGTTAATTGGATTCATTCCTACTTCGTTTTGGTTGGATCCACACATAGGAAAGCTTCCCAGGTGGCTCAATGGTAAAGAATCTGCCTATCAATGAAGGAGACACCCGTTTGACCCCGGATCAGGAAGATTCCATGGTGAAGAAAATAGCAACCCACTCCAATATTCCTACTTGGGAAACCACATAGACAGAGGAGACTGACAGGCTATAGTCCATGGGGTCATAAAGACTCAGACACAACTGTGCGTGCGCGCGCACACACACACACACACATATCATACATACAGAAATACCTACGGATGTCCACATGTTTCAGGAAGTAAGAGTATGTGGGCACCCACATCACTCCCCTTATGCACAGGGACAATCCCTGGGCTGGTCCCCAACACAATGCCTGCATGTCTCACTCACCAGCGGGTTGTTATCCAAAAGCTTTCGAGTCAGCCCTCTGGACTCAGAATGCATTCTCTACTGATGCAGTGTTATAAATGGCAATTAGCCCACACAGTGCCCTTTTGGCCTGCAGCGTGACTCAACTAGCCAGCAGTACCAGCAAGAGATATGGTTGCAAGGGCAACAGCTCAGAGGGTGAAAGATGGTGAAGACAAGATGAAGCTGGGTTTCTCTTGTGGTTTCCTGGTTTGGGGCTAACCCTCCATAATATTTTAAAAGAGGTCAAGTTTGCATTATTTACACCTCCCTCTCTGAATTTGCTTTTTCTCCTCAGGACTGCAGGAGCCTTTCTCCCAAGCTGTTTCTCCATTTCACAATTTCCCCTCTCTCTAATTCTGAACTCATAGATGCCTTTACAGCTCCCAGATTTTCCACTCCAGCTCCCACAGTGATGGCACACCAGCCCAGAGGACGGGGTGTGACCTGAGAAGCAAGAGGAGGGGCAATGGTTTTAGAAGTGTGGATGAGCTGTTTATCAAGTAGGATCTGCCTACTCAGGAAAGTTGGGCATCCTGCTTACGATTCACTTTATAAGCGGAGGGTCGCCAAGCCAAACCACAAATCCACGCTAGAAAGAGAAGGCAATGAGTAATGTGGATAAAAAGCAACAAGACTCAGTCGGGGCTTGGCAACTGGTTGAGAGAAGGGGAGCTGGTTTAAGGCTGGGACTCTTCCCAGAAAATGGCATAATTTACAAGCTTAATCTGAGAAGAGTGTTTACAGCTATGGGAAGGTTTGATGTTTCAGTTATAGTGAAAAAGACAGGCAACATCTGTTCCTCTTCTCAGCAATCAGCTTCCAATAGCTTGTTTTGAAAGGTGGGATCTGGCAGAGCCTCTTACCACCAGCAAGAAAGATCAAAACAGAACAATCATCTTGTCATATTCCATACAAGCACATGTTCCAATGGAGGAAAAAAAAAGACTGAAAGGAAATATACCAACATATCCATGATGGCTTTGAGGTGAGGCTCAGTAATTTTCATCTTCCTTCTGTTTTTATGTACTTTCCAGATTTTTTTTTTTCTTTTTGAAGTGTGTTATTTGCTCAGTTCTGTCCCATTCTTTGCGACCCCATGAACTGTAGCCTGCTAGGCTCCTCTGTCCATGGGATACTCCAAGCAAGAATACTGGAGTGGGTCGCCATTCCCTTCTCCAGGGGATCTTCCTGACCCAGGGATCAAGCTCGGATCTCCTGCGTTGCAGGCAGATTCTTTACCAACTGAGCCACCAGGTCCTTTTAATATTTATTTATTTGGCTTCACTGGGGCTTAGTGGCCCTGAGGCATGTGGGATCTTCCCTGACCAGAGACTGAACCTGCATCCCCTGCATTGGAAAGCGAATTCTTAAAACCACTGGACCATCAGGGAAGTCCCCGATTTTTAAAAATAATGATGTATCACTGAGGAAAACAAAGACCAAGTCCAAGATCAGATTAATCCCTTTGGTTTGTGTTTGTAGGCACCGGCTGGCTCCCCACGAAGAGGACTGAGAACGCCGTATAGGGGCAGATCGAGAAAGGGTGATGAAGTAGCTCTGTGACCAACAAACACATTCCCAAAGTTAACATTTAATGAGTATCTACTGTAGCCTGGCAGGGTACGCAGAGTGTTCATATGTTAATCTTCCACTTAATGTTCTCAAAACTCTGAGGTTGACATTATAGCTGATTTTACAGACAAGTAAGCCTGGGCCTAGAAAGGCTGGTTATTAATTTGCTAGGACTAAGGATCCAGCCTGAGCCAGCTCTCTCCCATGCACTTGATGACTCCCTGGCTTGAGGGATGGATAAAGACTATGGTTTCCCTAATGGGGCCACAAGTGACAGAGTGGACATGAGTGGGCATCTCATCCTCACTCCCACTTTGCTGGAATAACTCTGCTGTTAGGGATTTTATTTACTGGTACTTTGTGTAAACTTGCATTGGAAGAATGGCTTCTTCAGCTAAAAAAGAAAAAGCCTGCAAACCACAGGACTAGACAGTCTTCAAGTTCCTTCTAGCTCTAAAAGTCTATCTTGGGAGCTGAAGAGCGGTCCCTGTCACTGAGCTCACGTGAGCTGGTGTGAGCTGGTGCACTGTCCACGCCAGATGACCTTTAATGAATTAGCTGGGGGATACCTGAGGAGAAATCTCAATGCCCTTATGTCCAGGAAGAAATGATGCTTTTGAACTGTGGTGTTGAAGAAGACTCTTGAGAGTCCCTTGGACAGCAAGGAGATCAAACCAGTCAATTCTAAAGGAAATCAGTCCTGAATATTCACTGGCAGGACTGATGCTCAAGCTCCAATACTTCGGTCACCTGATTCGAAGAGCTGACTCAATGGAAAAGATCCTGATACTGGGAATGATTGAGGGCAGGAGGAGAATGGGGACAATAGAGGATGAGATTGTTGGATGGCATCATCGGCTCAATGGACATAAGTCTGAGCAAATTCTGGGGGAGAGAGAAAGCCAGGGAAGCCTGGCATGCTACAGTCCATGGCATCACAAAGAGTCGGACATGACTGAGCAACAACAACAACAAACAGTAAGATTATTATTGTTCTTATGGTGGCACTAGTGGTAAAGAACCCGCTGGCCAATGCAGGAGACATAAGAGATGCAGGTTTGATCTCCTCTGGAGGAGGGCACAGCAAACCCGCTCCAGTATTCTTGCCTGGAGAATTCCATGGACAGAGAAGCCTGGTGGGCTACAATCATGGAGTCACAAAGAGTCGGACACGACTGAAAGCGACTTAGCACTAATAATAGTCAGTATTCCATGAATAAGATGCATGACGGAGGTTTTGGTGTAGAGTAAGAATAAAGATCAGAGTGAGTTTAACAGGCTGGAAGTCTGACAGGTCTGTAGAGGGGGCGGGTGGGGAGGGGAAGGGAAGGAAGGTCACGGTGAATGCAGAATGACCAGGCAGAACCCACGGGAGCAGGTGGGAGAGAAGTGAGGGGTCGGGGCATAATGCCCTCTGAAGGGGCAACAGTCGGGTGTCACTGTGACAGTGACCAGAGGGCAACACCAGATCTGGTCTGCAGAAACCAGACCTGCCATCTCACGGTGCTCCTGTCATCCTCCACAGGGACCTGTCCTGCCCTAAATAATACCAACAGCTCCCTGATGACAAATAGTGGATGCAGTGACCAGGTGAGTGGGTGAAGGAGTCAGACCCAGGGTGAGAGGTGGAGAGGAGAAACAACACAGAGTTCTGGGATGCAGAATGAGGAGGCGGGGCTTTGCCATGTCAGAGCACCACTTAGTTCTTTTTAGAGCAAAGGAGGGGCTTGTTGATTAAGAGATGCGTGCATTTCTCCATCTGAATCACACAGGTCTGTTCCAATACTGCTTTGCTTTAATATTTGCTGCAGCTCACTGGTCACTGTCCAGCCGCCTGTTCAAGGGCAAGGATGCAGGAATGCCACCCGTTTGTCTGATTCCTTTCTTGACCTACCTTGATGAGGCCCTGCAGGACGGGTGGGCTGCAGATTGCTCTTGCCTTATAATATTGCAAGAGGTTTAGAAACTGCAGGCAAGGTGGTAAGACACACACACACACAAATAGCAACAACAAGGAAGCTTCTTGGCTGAAAAGAAAGTGAAACTTTTTTTTCTTTCAAATTTACAAATACTGAATTGGCAAGGCGAGCTCTTTGAAATGTAAAGCATGGCCACATCACGCACAGGGTGTCAGAAGTTTTCGCCCATAGGGCTACAAAGCAAGCATGCATATACATACCCAACTTGGGTACTGTCCCGATACGGCAGCACTGAAAATATACTACAGAAGGATCTTCTGCCACTGATAAGGACTATTCTAAAAAATAAAAATAAAAAACACAAACACAAATAAACAAACTAAATGCAAAGCGTCTTAAATTAAAAAAAAAAATTCTATAGCAATTCAGCATTCATGGAATTCACAGCAGTATATGCACCCTCCCGCCACCTCCTCTGACAGATGGTACTCTGTTCTGCTTGCAAAAATGCAACCTCAGGGCAGCAGAAGTACGCTGCCATTCCTCATTTGAGTGTTAACACAGTGAGACCCCGGGGAGGGTCTCTAAGGAACACATGTGCATGAATCCATTTTCTGGTGGGAGGGGCTGGCTGTGGGCAGCCCGGGGCAATGGAGCTATGAGTCCAGGGTGCCCTATGCTGGGTGAACAGTCCTGCCACATTTAAACCATCAATTTCTACTTTGCAGTGAGCAATGCAAAAGCAACGGTGCCAGAAACCGTGAGCAGGAAAGACACTCAGATGCCATTGTGATCATCAGGGATTTTCATATGCTGGCGGCGTGTTAGGTTCTGAGAATAAATTGAGGGAACAATTACATAATCAGTCTTAGCCTCCATTCCTGCTAAAAAGATACTACTGGAAACAGTTCTACATGACGCTCTTATGCAATCAAAGGCACTTCAAAAAAAAAACATTAAAAAAAAAAACCAAAAAACCTCCCCAAAGTACTTATCTTGGCATCTGAGAATAACTTTTGCCAAAGAGGATTGCTGATGAAAAAACGGAGAAACAGTGGGGGAGATTAAAAACCAACATTCTTCAGCATGATGGTAACACACATCAGATATGAAGCTTACTGAGTTTGACTATCTTTTCCTTCAATAATTACTATCAGGGAATAAAGCAGTAGTACTCAAGGTTTGGGTATTTTGACCTTGTTTTAAAACTATGATATTCAATTGCCTACATGCCCAGAATTAAGTCAGGTTCCCTGGCATGCGGTTTCCCTGGTGGCTTAGATGGTAAAGAATCTGCCTGCAATGCAAGAGACCCAGGTTCAATCCCTGGGTCAAGAAGATCCTCTGGAGAATGGAATGGCAACCCACTCTAGTATTCTTGTCTGGAGAATCCCATGGACAGAGGAGACTGGTGGGTTACAGTCCACAGGTTCGCAAAGAGTCCGACATGACTGAGCGACTAACACTTTGATACTTTTGCTGGCAAGGCAGGTTCCCAGGCCCTTTGTTTCCTGGCCCTTTCTGCCTCTCTGGTCTCAACACACACAGTATTTCCCCTGCGCTTTATCACTCATCCATGATAGAAGCACTTGCTGTACACTCACTGTTTTTTTCATAAGGTCCCTGGAGGGGACTTTTTTTTTGGTCAAGCAGCATGCATGTGGGTGGGATCTTAGTTCCCCAACCAGGGATTGAACCTGTGCCCTCTGCAGTGGAAGTACTGAGTCTTAACCACTGGTCTGTCAGGGAAGTCCCACCTTCATCTTTTAAAAAATCCCTGCTGTTTCATATCTCCATCCTTTGCGTGCTATTTCTTCTGACTGTTGTGTCTTACTAAGTATGCTGGGCGAACTCCTACTTAGTCTTCAAAACCCAAGTAACCTCCCCAGGAAGAATTTCCTCCCCTTTCACTGAGTTACTCTTTAGGTGCGGCCTCCACTCTGCTTTTATTTCCAGGAACATCCTGATCGCAAAGTGCTGCTAAACATTTGCTGCCCGCTTCTTCTCCATACATGACAGTTGCTCCAGAAACACAACCTGGGCAAGGCGGTACTTCAGAGCAGCCCCTGAGTACCCATCACTGGGAAGGCAGGACCAAAGCTCCAACCTCAGCCTCAAATACCAGCTCTGTCACCTTTCTGTGCCCTCAGGCAGCTCACTCATCCTATAGTTTCCTCATCCAAAACCATGGCACAAAAATCAGTAGCCATCTCATTGGAATGGTGTAAAGAGTAAATGAGCTCCCATATTGTAAAGCCTATAGAACAGGGCCAGACAAATAAGACGAGCTCAATAAATACTATTTTTACCAGGAGCTGCCATCTTGGGTTGAGGTAAGTTTTCTCAACAGTCTGCGGATTCAGACCCTAAAATAATACAGGCCTGCTAAAGGCAAAAGGTCGGGAAAGGACAGCTGAAGGCCAACACACGCAGCCTCACAAAGGTGAACAGGGACACAGAGGTTGGTCTCTCCTCTCTCCAGGGAGATGTTTCTCATCAGATATCACAGACTCAAACCCTAGCCTCAGCTCTGAGAACAGAGCCAAGAAAGCTTACTCAGGCAGACTGAATGCACACCTATTAAGTGTCAATTAGGTGCCTGCATGCTGAGTCGCTCAGTCATGTCTGACTCTTTGTGACCCCATGGACTGTAGCCCACCAGCCTCCTCTGTCCATGGGATTCTCCAGGCAAGAATACTGGAGTGGGTTTGCTGTGCCCTCCTCCAGGGGATCTTCCTGGTTCAGGGATCGAACCTGCATATCCTGCATCGGCAAGCGGATTCTTTACCACTAGTGCCACCTGGAAAGCCTGTCAATTAGGTAGTGGTGGTTTAGTCGCTAAGTCATGTCCCACTCTTATGACCCCATAGACTGTAGCCTGCCGGGCTCCTCTGTCTATGGGCATTCTCCAGGCAAGAATATTGGAGTGGGTTGCCATTTCCTTCTCCAGGGGGTCTTCCCGACCCAACAATCAAACTGCATTGCAGGCAGATTCTCTGCAGACTGAGCTACGAGGGAAGTCAATTAGGTATCAGATCCTAAATGCTTTAACTGATGAGGAATGAATGAGTCAGTGACAGAACCAATGCACTAGCTGGTGTGACTGGGGATTTGAACAATGCACTTTAACATCCTGGGCCTCAATTCCTTGCTCTTCTCTAAGACTTACTAGAAAAATCTGCTCCTGCAGGTTTGACCAGGCACCCAGGGATGCTTTCGTCAAAGATTTCCTAGGGCAGCTTTCCAGACTGGCCCTCAGGTCACCAGGAGGAGTGTGGGGTGGGGCCAGAGGGTGAGCGATCACAACAGCCCTGATCACAACCGCACAGGAGGAGCAGGAGCCCCCGGTGGCTCCTGCTCCCACTCCCCTCAGCCTGGGCCCCTTTCTAGATGGAAGGATAGGGGTTCTCCACACACAGCCCCACCGCCAGTGGGGGCAGCCACCCAGGCAGGCGGAAAGCCCGAGTCCCTTGTGACCCTTCCACATACGGAGGAAAGCATGTGTTGCACAAACTCAACAGGCTTAGTCAGTGGTCCTGCACTTCCTTCATTACTCACTACTGCTGTGGCCTTCCTTCCCACACCCAGAAACTGTTTGGACATTTTTTGAAAATTCATTTGTAATTGAAGGATAACTGCTTTACCATGTAGTGTTGGTTTCTGCCAAACATCAGCATGAATCAGCCACAGGTATACGCATGTCCCTGATGTGTCCATCTGATGCGAAGAACTGACTCATTGGAAAAGACCCTGATGCTGGGAAAGATTGAAGGTGGGAGGAGAAGTGGACAACAGAGGATGGTTGGATAGCATCACTGACTGGATGGACATGAGTTTGAGTAAGCTCCGGGAGTTGGTGATGGACAGGGAAGCCTGGTGGGCTGCAGTCCATGGGTTCGCAAAGAGTCAAACAACTGAGCAACTGAACTGAACTGATACACATGTCCCCTTCTCCTTGAACCTTCGTCCCACCTCCCACTGCATCCCAACCCTCTAGGTCATCACAAAGCACTGGGCTGAGCTCCCTGCACCATACAGCACCTTCCCACTAGCTAGTTATTTTATACATGGAAGCTACTCTCTCAATTCGTCCCATCCTCTCCTTACCCTGTGGTGTCCATAGGTCTGTTCTCTATGTCTGCATCTCTATTCCTGCCCTGCAAATAAGTCCATCAGTACCATTTTTCTAGAATTTTTGGACATTTTTAATAGAATAAGAAAATGTGCTTAGTCACTCAGTCATGCCTGACTCTTTGCGACCCTATGGACTGCAGCCCGCCAGGCTCCTTTGTCCATGGGATTCTCCAGGCAAGAATACTGGAGTGGGTTGCCATGGCCTCCTCCAGGGTATCTTCCCAAACCAAGAATCAAACCCAGTCTCAACAACCAGGGAAGCCTGAACAAGAAAATCAGAGACTATAAATGTAAACCTTCTTTCCAAAGTTTCAACCGGGATGTGCCCATAGCTACATGGAACATTAATTCAATCTCACACTACTGCTGTGTGATCCTCACTTCCAGGTACAAGAGAGGCTGGCAGTGTGGATCCCATTCAGAAAAAAACTGTTATTCTAATGCCCCGGTCTAGTCTAGCTACTACAAGGTGATTGTTTCACATTAATTACAGGAGGGTTGGTCCTCCTCTGGTTGGCCATTCTTGAGCAGCTGGAGGAGAGGGCAGGAAGGAAGGAAAGAAAGAAGACAACATCTTGGGGCACCTTCTTTCCATTCTTGGGTCCAACTACCCCTAGATGGCCACTCTTGGCAGGGACCAGAGGAGGAATCCAGAGTAGAGACCTGCACGGCATCCTGCAACAGCTCTGCAACTCTTCACGCCCTGGAGAGCTGAAAGGAGCTGGTAGAGCTCCCAAGAACACATCCTACGTGTTTCCCAAAACATCTTTGGAGTCAAGGGGGGACTTGAGGTCTTCACCAGAGCACACAAGTATCAGCAAGTGGCCAGCGCTTGACAGTTTCTTGCTTTAGGGACTTCAAATGGCGTGAGTCTCAAGATGGGTCCCACATGACCGACTGCTGTGTCTAGAACCTGGAGGGCTCATGTGAATTTGCAGCTTTGTTCTTTACAAGCATCAGGGCAATGTCCATCATAACTGAGATGCTCACAAAGAAAGTCAGATTTGCTTGCCTCCTTTGAGTGCATTTGTGAAAAAATTAAATCACATGCCAGTTGTCTGGAATGATGTTAAGACAGCCAAACTCCCATTTCCAACGGGCTTTGGAAATTCACCATGTTTTCCCCTTCACCACTACAGTTATCTTCTTTTGGGCCCAAATGTCATGCAAGAAGCCCACAGAATTTTCCATCTGTAACATATAA